CACAAGAAGGGCGAAACAGCTGTCCACTGTTGCGATCCTACTTTATCGGTTCTTGTCATGTTGGTGTCTCGAAACGTTTTTCACGTACTATCAGCCTTGCAGTCTATTGCTTGTCTTCATACATTTTTTTTGGCTGATCAGATTTCTTGTAGATCCTACGTTGGCAGCGTTTATCGTATGCGGTCCCTTGCAGTTTCTGGTTTCTAACCTATTAGTGCCCAGTCTCTTCTTAGGTACTCAGTCGTTCATTTTGGCGATTTGTTGGCGTTTAATTGTTCAAGTTTCACACAAAATGGTAAAAGACGTAAGCAAACAGTAAATAGAGAAAAGAAAAACATTGGAACATTTTTTAAAAGACTCGGAGTTAGAAGTTGGGCTGTTATAATCCATCAAAACTGTAGTAAGCTACCTTAAACCATGCCTTGCGTGATGCAAAGAACGTGTGCCTCCTTTATATCCTTCTATTGAGAGTTGATGTCTGCTCCCTGATCGTCCTCGTGCAATCCCCGTAGGACTTGGTACCTGTTGGACAGTACCACTCTGAATCTATCCGCTGTACTTACGTCCCTCAGGAAACCAACAATATATCGCGCTCTTTTTCTTTTTTAACCTGTTTCATTCCTAGCTTCATGCATTTTAACTCAACCCGGATGTCTTATAGTGATCTTTTGGACTCCTTTGTAAGACAGATGTGGTCGATCTGGTTCTCTGCTATAAGGCCCTATTGTTTTGGAACACCATTATAAGCTCAACGAAAACTCTCTATATAGAAATTTTTAAAGAAACCAGACCATTATTTTTAGGTTTCCATAAATGGGGATATGTCCATGATAGTGCCCGTCTAATGACAACTTATCCCTCGGCCTCAGGAAACCAGTTAGTATGGTTTCTTGCATTGCAATTGAGTATTTCAATGTTTCCCCTTGGCTCCAGCTCGGAAAATAAATGGGTTTCCCTCCGGTTTAATCATATTTCTAATCTATCACTAACGCGGAAATTAAGATTGGTTTCCTGTATAAAGGCAAGCACCATGGAAACATAACATAACATTATATTAGAAATACAACAGTGGGCCACGATAATACATAGTTGCATTTTCAAGGTAAGAGAAACTGAATAATCAGCCATATTGAGTTTAAATGTTGAATGTCGGTCTGATTTGTTTCACCCGATTCAAAGTGAGTTTAAATGCATTTATGTCACACTGATTCGTCGCCCGAATTTGTGGCTTGAGTAGTAGTTATACATGTATCTATCTACCGAGGAGTAATATCGTAAACTCTCATTTGCAATCGTGTATGGTAAAATATGTAAACGGCAATTTGCTCTGGCAGTTTTATCCAGAGGAATAGTGATGTTTTTGATAGGCCAGTGGGGTTAAGTAAAATTCCTACTGCGTGGAAAAGGAAACTAACAGTGTCTATGCGGAAATTAATGTCACAGTCGTAGCAGTATTAGTGTAGCTTAACGGTAGCTCAGTGAAAAGACATTTCTTCCGATCATTTCACACGTGAACATGAAATATCTCCTTCAAACTCTCTGGCTTCCTCGTTCACTCCGTCTGGATGAAATGATGAATCAGCAAGTAATACAAACCGACTGACGCTGACACGCTTGAACGATTAGTCTCCCGGCACTAAACGAGACGGCGGAAGAAATTTCACGGTAATAGATTTTTTCAGGTCATTTTTCCAGTAGTGTTATGGCTGCATTCGCATCTTTCATTCTTTCATTATTTAATTCAAGTTGCTACTGTTGGACATCTATTACCATGGAATTCACATACTTGAGCCGAGTATCACGTCCACTGAATATATAGGGCCGAACCCACACACGACCGCTCTCATGTGGCTTTGATAGCTCAGTTGGTAGAGCATTGCACCGGTAACGCAAAGGTCGTGAGTTCGAATCCCGTTCACAGCAAAAAATTTTTTCAGGTCATTTTTCCAGTAGTGTTATGGCTGCATTCGCATCTTTCATTCTTTCGGGAGAAATTTGTTCATAGATTTGTTACTTAGTTGTGTTACATGCGTGTACATTGGTGATAGCAAATTGACGGTGAGATGACGAGAAACGTTTGCAGGTAATAGCGACTTAACTCGTCCCAGGTCGTTCCTTTAATTCAAAAAAGCCAGTCCAAAGACGTAAGGGATTATGGGAGGAGAAAAATAGTCAGGCATAGTCGTCTTGCTTTCTTCTCTGGCTCCATCCCATTATCCACCGCAACTTCCAATACCATCATACAAGGACATCAGCTGAAGGATCGTTCATTTTTTTGTGAGGAAATGGCGGATGTGGGGAGGGGGGGNGAGCTTTAACAGGCGAATGGGCGGGCAATGTTTGTTTGCGGGGGGAGGGGGACAGACAATAAAGGCGCATAGAATATTAACCTTAAAGTGTTGTGATGTTAACACGTATGATATCGTGGAATTTATGCTTAATATATCTGAAAGAAACAAGCAGTTGAATGTAAAAAGTAAATGTAAAAAGTACATTCCGATCATGTCCGAAATATAGCCTCTTCCAGGCATTCGGTTGTCAGTTGAGAGTACAGCTTGAAAGCAATGACGTTTATTGACTAAAATGATTATTTGTTGTGATGTTCAGCATGACAGGAACATCATCCAGTTCTAAGAAGTTCTGCCCGCTTGCCGCATCCTTTACAGCCCACAATTGATTTCACGGTGCACACTGACTAAGAAATACCTTCAGACTTTCTTAGAGTTGCCATAATATAAAGGTAAGCCTTATTTTATGAAGTTGCGGCGATTTGTTGCAGAGAACGTCTGATAGAAACAGTGTCTTTGGGCAGCATGTAAATGTCCCTTGAAATTATTAATGCACATACGAGAAATTTAAATGATATACATAAGACCAGCGATAAGCACTACTCGAGTACTGCGAATTTCCATGTAAATGTTAAAAATAGTGTCTATTTACAACTGTAACTTAAATGGTACACTTCAACCAGTGATTATTGCTTTTCGCGCGCTCCTATTGGACACTCAAACTACGCCTATCCTTCGCCATTCACCTTCGAGCAAAACAAAATGACTTCCCGTTTTGCTTTTGTGACAGAAGGAGAGTTTTTAAATAAGGGATGTTTTCTATGATGGGATGTGGGTTTTGCAGTGCCAATACGTGGCCTGCGTTGAAAGCGTAAATGGAGAGGGAGTTAGGGAGGCAAAAGACGCCAGGAAGTTCCATCTCCACTCTCTTCTCCCCTCTCCCCCGTTTTATGCCTGCTACCCAGCCTAAAATACATGACACTCTAATCGTGTTACTCATATAATTGTAGTTTTTTAACATTTATTTTCTTCAGAAAGAACTTTACATTACTTACGATATAGTACATCACCTATAAAATTGTTAAAAATATTGGATTCGTTTACGATCAAGTTTTCTTTCGAGTCTGTCCTCTTGTTAACAATGAATGTCGTCAAGACTGCGTCGACGCATGAATTGATCGTACATAAATGAAGGCAGAAACACTACCGTTATCTTGTAACATTGTATTCAGCTGAACGTTAACTGAGGAAAATTGAAACATCGTTTTCCTTCGTTCCTTTAACAAGATCTAACAATAGCTTTCACACTCCAAACAGATTTACTCTGGTACTTTCAATACCTAAGGATGAAAGACAAATAATTTCCCTCCTGACAAAACAAAACAAAACAAAACAAAACAAAAAAAACAACAACAGTATCGTGCCATTATTTTTTTTTTTCGCCAACAGCTGCGTCTGCCGGAGATGAACATCTCAAAATTTATTCCCAAAAATAACGATAGCAGGTCTGTCAAAAAATGCCCTCTTTGCACGCTTATACGTTCTTTTCCCCTCCTTGATCAACGGCATCAGAGATTATCAAACTTCTTTGTTTGTATTACGGTCATTGAAACTAAAAGTAAGCCATAGGAGTTAAAACGATTTGGTCTGGGCTCGCTACCAACGTTAAGTGTTTGTGGTATTTTCAGACGGCTGTTGTGACTGCTCACATGCGGCCACATGTGGCGAAAAATGCTCTCGATGGAGAGCATTTGTCGATATCCGCTCTGTTACCCTAGGTGCCAGAGGGTAACGAAGCTGCGATTGTGAGCGGCGAAGCTGCGATCGAGGCTTTTTTTTGTTTTTTGTTTTTTCTCTCGCCAGGATCTCGATGGCGGCTTGATCCGGCTTCGCCGACACCGCGGAAATACGTTTTTGGGGCGCGATACAGTATTTTGCTGGTCAGCGGTACACCTTAACAAAACTACAAAATGCCTTCAACGTTTACATTGTTTTCGCAGCGAGTCTTGTCGACAGTCAAAAAGATACAAAACTTAGAGCGCACACTGTAAACGTAGCTTTTAAACTCCGCTCATTTGTTGGGTAGTTCTCAGTTAATATTATATATTGTGCCAAAGCCAAACTGAACTTGCACACGGTGTGAAATTGTTGTTGTTTCGTGAGAGTTCATGCTCGCAAGCGG